GTGGTTCTCCAAGGTTACTCCACCATGGTTCTCCAAAGTTACTCGGCCGTGGTTCTCCAAGGTTACTCCACCGTGGTTCTCCAAGGTTACTCGGCTGTGGTTCTCCAAGGTTACTCCACCATGGTTCTCCAAAGTTACTCGGCCATGGTTCTCCAAGGTTACTCCGCCATGGTTCTCCAAGGTTACTCGGCCGTGGTTCTCCAAGGATACTCGGCCGTGGTTCTCCAAGGTTACTCAACCATGGTTCTCCAAAGTTACTCATCGGTGGTCATCAAAGATTTACTCCACCGTGGTTCTCCAAGATTTACTCCACCGTGGTTCTCGAAGACTTACTCCACGGTGGTTCTCCAAACTTACTCAACGGTGGGTATCGAAGACTTACTCAGATGTGGTTCTTGAACTTACTCCACTGTGGTTCTCGAAGACGTACTCAACGGTGGTCATTGAAGAATTACTCAGTGGTGGTTCTTGAAGACTTACTCAGCCGTGGTCTGCGAAGACTTACTCAACTGTGGTTCTTGAAGACTTACTCCATCGTGGTTCTTGAAGACTTACTCCATGGTGGTTCTCCAAACTTACTCAACCGTGGTTCTTGAAGACTTACTCAACGGTGGTTCTCAAAGACTTACTCAACTGTGGTTGGTGAAGACTTACTCAAGGGTGGGTATCAAAGACTTACTCCACCGTGGGTCTTGAAGATTTACTCAACTGTGTTTCTCCAAGACTTACTCAACGGTGGGTATTGAAGACTTACTCAGCCGTGGTTCTTGAAGATTTACTCAACTGTGGTTGGTGAAGGCTTACTCCACCGTGGTTCTCAAAGACTTACTCCACCGTGGTTCTTGAAGACTTACTCCACCGTGGTTCTCCAAGACTTACTCAACGGTGGGTATCGAAGACTTACTCCACCGTGGTTCTTGAAGACTTACTCCACCGTGGTTCTACAAGACTTACTCAACGGTGATTCTCCAAGACTTACTCCACCGTGGTTCTTGAAGACTTACACCACCGCCATCACCACGTAGAACACCGTCGGACGAGTAACTCCCACCAGACTCGGCGCATCTCCAATTTTTTTTTTTTTTTTGATTTTCCACTCATAGAACCCTCCCAACTCCTCAATCCCTCCTCCCATCCCACCTCTACTCCCGCTTTACTCCACGTTCTTCCTTTTTTTTTTTTTCGCTCTCAGTTCTCCGACACATCCCTCAACTCGCCCTCCTCCCTACTCCTCCGATGAATTTCTTCGTGCCTCGTCCGATGAGAAGCTTGCCGGAAGGTTTTATGACAAACGGAGCAAGCGTAGGGTTTTTCCCCTGTGTGGATCCTCCGATGAGTAACGAGAAGAAAATTCGTCTGGAATTTTTTCCCGCAATCCGAGCAACGATAAGCTCTCTCCTCAGCGTGAAACCGTTGGTGTTTCAGGAGAGCGCCCACAACCCCGAAACACTCCCCGCAAACGGGACATTTGTAGGGTTTCACCTCCGCGTGCCTTCGCCGGTGTCTCCGATGAGTAGAGCTGTCGGAGGAACGTTTCCCGCAGACGGGACATTTGTAGGGTTTTTCCCCCGTATGAATCCGTCGATGTTTCCACAAAGTAGCGTCGTGCCGGAATTTTTTCTCGCACACGGAACAACGATAAGGTCGTTCCGTCGTGTGAGTAGCGCGGTGGAGGACCTGAGCGGATTTAGCGTGGAAACTCTTACTACAATACGGACATTTGTAACGTCCTTCTCCGCGTTGTGATGATTTTTGGGATTTTTCCAAATGGATTTTCCGATGTTTGCTAAATCCGGAACTATCGGCGTAACTCCTTCCGCATTCCCCGCAACGGTAAGGTCGTTCCCCGCTGTGACTTCGTTGATGTCTACTCAGATGACAACTCAACCGAAATCTTTTCCCGCATTCCAAACACTCGTAAGGTTTTTCACCGCTATGAATTCTCCGATGTCCGACGAGGTCGGAACTCAACAGAAATTTTTTCCCGCACTCGGGACACCCGTAAGGTTTTTCTCCCGTATGGACGCGTTGATGAACTACCAAAATGGATCGTCGGCCAAATTTTTTTTGACACACTTGACATTGAAAATTTTTTTCTCCCGTATGGATACGTTGATGGATGGTCAAATATCTTTTCAAACGAAATTCCTTCCCGCACGCCAAACACCGGAAAGGATTTTCCTCCCCGTGGGTCGTTTCATGAGCGAGGAGATAAACGTCAGAACGAAACGTTTTCCCGCAAACCAAGCAGACGTACGATTTTTCACCCAGGTGGATTTTCCGATGAGTAGTAAGAGTAGAAGTCAAACGGAACCGTTTCCCGCAATCCCGACACTCGTAAGGTTTTTCCCCCGTATGGATCCGTCGATGACGGTTCAGAGCCGAACCCACGCGGAAACTCTTCCCGCACTCGTGGCAGGTGAAAGGTTTCTCACCCGTGTGGATGCGGCGGTGGGGGACGAGGAAGGATTTCCGCGTGAAGAACTTCCCACAATCCGGGCAACTATAAGGAGTAACTTGGGTGGATTTACTCGGGGTGGAAGGAGAGGTTTGCTTCGTCCCGCGGCGGGCTTGGCGGCGGCTACGCTTCCGCCGTTGTTGGCTGCGGGCGTCATGGGTGTTCTGCTCGGGGTTGGGTGTCGTACTCCACCGTTGCGTCTGGTTCTGCTCGGGGTTGGGTGTCGTACTCCACCGTTGCGTCTGGTTCTGCTCGGGGTTGGGTCTCGTACTCCACCGTTACGTCTGGGTCTGCTCCGGGGTGGGTCTTGTACTCCACCGGTTCG